TGGGCTCTGGTTTCAGACAGAGGGTGAAAAGAGGTGCTGCAGCACAGGCAGTGTGAGAACAATAAAGAGCTTTTTGAACATTAAAGCATGGAGACATGTCAAAGTAGAGACACTACATACTGATATACACCTGAACATCAGCAGGAGAGGACTCTTTAAAGTAGAGACACTACATACTGATATACACCTGAACATCAGCAGGAGAGGACTCTTTAAAGTAGAGACACTACATACTGATATACACCTGAACATCAGCAGGAGAGGACTCTTTAAAGTAGAGACACTACATACTGATATACACCTGAACATCAGCAGGAGAGGACTCTTTAAAGTAGAGACACTACATACTGATATACACCTGAACATCAGCAGGAGAGGACTCTTTAAAGTAGAGACACTACATACTGATATACACCTGAACATCAGCAGGAGAGGACTGTTTAAAGTAGAGACACTACACACTGATATGAAGTAGAATTACTTCACATATTTATCAGCCTTTGTGCTACAAGTCCGATAAACTAAATGGTGGAAGAATAACCAAACAAAACGTTCTGTTTACATGACCCTTATCACACTCAGAATATGTCATATCTTTGACTAATAGTGGAATATTAGTGTGCATGTAAACAGAATCACTGACACACCTGTTGTCACATGTTCTCTGTATCTGAGCTGTGATTGGCTGATGAGTCTCTCTCTCTCTCAGTGTTGCCGGCGGCGCCCTCTGGACTGCAGGTCCTCAGGATGGAGGACAACAACGTCACGTTGGCATGGAAACCGGGATTCAATGGACACTCTGAGCTGACAACCTGCGTTGTCCAGGTAACACTTACTTACCACAATTAAATTAATTACACACACACACAATTAAAAACAGATTAGAATATCACAAGTCTCTAGATTAAACTCTTTGTCAACTCTTATTGGTAGTTCAGTCCTTCCTTCCTGTCAGGTCTAGATAATTAATTAAACACACACACACACACACACACACACACACACACACACACACACACACACAGAGAAGGCTAATCAAACACTAATATGTCGCTACCCTCCTCCCCCTCCCCCCAGCTGTCCAGGCGCTCGGTGAGGAGGTGGGATCTCCCCCAGCAGGAGGTCCAGGTTCCTCCTCACCTGCACGTCCTCTCGGCTCTGAGGAGCCATCAGAACTACAGCGTGAGGCTCTCCTGTCTGAACGAGGTGGGGGCGTCGCCTTTCTGCCCCTGGATCCACTTCCAGACCCCGGAGTCAGGTGAGAGATGTTAGGAAGCATCTTTTCTAATACTACTAACAAGTGTCCCCCGCTTTAAAGGGGCCCTGTTCTGCTTTAGGAGTGTTCCCTTTCCTGTAGTGTAGGTTTTAGTGTATGTAAATGGTCTGCAAAGGCTAAAATCCCTGTGTTCCCTTCAGGGGGAGATTCTTTCCCACACATTCCCGCCTCCCTGCCTGAAACACCTCCATTGGACTCCTTTGTTTACTTCAGGATGGGTTGACCAATCACATTACAGCAGAGTACATGAAGACCTTTTTGAACATTAAGTATTGTAAACATGACACAGTAGAGACACCAAATACTGATATGAACCTCAAAGTGAGCAGAATATTTCCTCTTCAAAGTAAAAAGATGTTTGGATTTAAATCTGCTCAAAGATTGTACATTTAAGGGTCTCTTTTAGTGTACTTTCCATCTCCTAGTTGCCTCTCGTTCCCATTTTTGGTGGTTTTACATCAACAACAACAGCAGTAGCTATTTTGTGTCTCGTGTGGAAGGTTTTGAAGCCACTAGTTTTAGTTTTGTCTGAATTTTTGCATCTCTTTTCTGGTTTGTTAGCATCTCTGTTTGACCTCCAAACACTTCAAAGCTGTATACATTAACTGATCAAACAGAAAGCATGACACCTCTTATAGGAATGTGGCAGAGAGATTCTGCTGTCAGCTGGTTTCCTGTTTTCTCTGAGCTTCAGCAGTTGGTCGCTGAGAGCGGGCTTGTTGTTTGTGTTGTGTATTTGTTTGTGTGTGTGTGTGTGTGTGTGTGTGTGTGTGTGTGTGTGAGGTCCAGCTGGATGGTTTCCAGTAGATTCCAGTCCTCTCCTGTACAATCAGCTTTTGTGTGTGGCCTAAATCCATATGAAAGGCCTCTCTGCAGGCTGTCTCTCTGCAGCGCCCCCTGCAGGCTGCAGAGAGGCACACACTGACCTCAGATCACCAGGGGAGGAAAGTAACTAAGTACATTTACTCAAGTACTGTACTTAAGTTTAAATGTCCCAAGTCCATTAATCAATTAGTGGATGGAGGGGAAATTAATTGGAAACTATTTTAATGGTTTTTTTCAGATTTGTTGCTTTTACTGTTAACCCTCTGGAGTCAGCGCCCACAGATCTGCGCGGGTAGTGCGCATATTTTTCGTATTTATTCATCTTTTCGATTATTAGGAGTAGAAATATGATTGAAGATTTCCTAAATCGGATGTCAAATGTGCAGCTTTAGATCTAATCAACTATGTGCAGTGCTTTAAGGTGAGTGACTTGCATTTCTAGCAAGACCAGAGATTGTCCTGAACATTTTGATATGTAACTCATGGGGTGCTGTGTTAACGAGTACATTTTAAAAGGTGATTTAAGGAGGAATCTAAAAATCTAGAAAGTACCCTTAGACTCCAGAGGGTTAATAACTTTATGTATCAGTATTTAGTTTGAGGTATGGACAGTTTTTGGGAAGAAAACTAACATTTTGAAGGTTCTGGGTTATTGTGACAGCATTTCTCACTATTTCTACAAAAAGATTAAATATATAGATTACATTAATCCAGAAGATTGGTCGGTATAAAGAAACGTTCATTTAGTTAGTTTAGATGTCAGATTGTGTTTTAATACCTTCAGATTTGTTGCTTTTACTATTTGACTGTTTGAATGTTAATAACTGTTTAGTATTTAGAGGTTTGTTGAAGGTGTTGTGCTCTGGGTTATTGACAGCATTTCTCACTATGTTTACATATTACATTATATATAGATTACATCCATTCAGAAAATTGGTCCGTACAAAGAAACGTTTATTTACTTAGTTCAGTCTTTTAGAAAAACAAGTTGGAAGGTGTTTCTCAGATTGTGTTTTTCCCCAAACTGTGAGGACTCTCAGACTCTGATGCTGTTGTTGATCAGTGAGCATTCAGACCCCGCAGAGCACGCTTCATGATAATCACTGTAATCTATCTGATAATAATGATATATCATCCCGCCCTCAGTGCCGTCGGCGGCCCCCAGGAACCTGACGTTCGAGCTGTCGGAGCAGCAGCTGGCTCTCAGCTGGGCGGTGCTGCAGGAGGAGCAGCTGCAGGGACGTCTGATCGCATACAAGCTGCAGTGGAGCAGAGGAGGGGAGCCTCAGGTGGGGGGTCTCTCAGAGCTTCCATTACATTTATACCGGAAGCAGGGACGGTTAATGGTAAAAAACAAGACTTTCATTCAGTTAAAAAACACACGTACCAAATTCTCTATTCTATAAGGAGAGACGCAATAATGTTTAAAAACAAGGTTTACTGTTTATTAATTATAATTAAAAATAAGCATGAGGACTACAGCAGCATAAATAAAACAATTATAATAAAACTAATTTTCATTGACAAAAAAAAAAACTAAAATATTTTAAGGGTAGAGTTTAAAAACAAAAAAAGGTATATAACAAAAATGTCTACTTGTAGTCAACTAAAATTTGATTGTGTGTGTGTGTGTGTGTGTGTGTGTGTGTGTGTGTGTGTGTGTGTGTGTGTGTGTGTGTGTGTGTGTGTGTGTGTGTGTCCTACAGACTACGAATCTTAATGAGCATTTTTGATCAACACCTGCACTTTTACTTCATTTATTCTAAACTGATGTTCACCACTTAACTTATCAGCAGGTCACTCTTGAAAAAGAGGTCAATGATCTCAATGGGATTCACCTGCATTAATAAAGGTTTGAAATCAAATCAAATAAATAATAACAACATTTGTCATATTATCAGAGTCAACGTAGAACACTTATAACAACTTTTTAATTACAAAAATAAGGAAAAAGACATTTGATACATTTAATAAACGTGTTATTCGTAAAAAAAAAAGAAATACCGGCAAAATGAAAACTAAATCTGTGTTTTCAGTCTCGTCACATGACATGCATTTTTGAACTTTAATATGTTTTATGCATGCTTTTTAGTTAACATTAAGCTGTCTTTGGCTCTTTTTTCAAGATTGAAGGCTTTTATTGATCATGTGTGCAGAGCTACATATCTGAGGTCACAGGACTCCTCAACAGAGCAACACAATAAAACAAGATAACATTGTGTCAAGTAAATAACAAATAAAAATAGAATCGAAATAGTGCAAGAAGAGTCTATATACAAGTAATTGGAATATGATATATTAGATAAATAGTGGTTGTTGTTGAAGTTGCAAACAGTTGAATGTTATGGTTGTTTTCTGCTGTAACTCGAGGTATTCTGATCTGATGCTCTTCCTGCAGGAGCCTCTGCTGTTTAAGGAGAACTCGGCTCTGCTCTCAGGTGGAGGGCGTTTCTTCAACGCCTCCTTCCAGGTGTCGGCCTGCACGTCGGTGGGCTGCGGACCCTGGAGCCCCCCGGTGCTGGTGCTGCCCGCCTCAGGTAAACAACAACACACCTCAGGTAAACAA